CAGCATGTTCTGTTGCACCACAAACAGAGAAGGAGGCCAAGAAACCATACGTCCCAAAACGATTAATGATAGCAAAAGATGAGTATGTCCTACTTTCGTTTGCTTTATAATTCCTTATATATTGAGTTGATGATATCTATGCATGGTGTTCTAGAGTATATATGAGATAATCAAATTATTGAATATTGACAGATATTTCCGGATCGGCAGTGGAAATAAACTCATTAGAAACCCCAAGAAGCGAAGTCGCATCTTTGCGAGTGAAAAAGTTAGATGGAGTCTGCACACTGCTAGGTCAAGGCTTGCTAAGAAGCGGAAGTACTGTCAGTTCTTCACAAGATTTGGCAAGTGCAACAAAGATGATGATGGGAAATGTCCATACATTCATGATCCCTCCAAAATTGCAGTGTGCACTAAGTTTATCAATGGCTTATGTTCCAATGCTGACTGCAAATTGACTCACAAGGTTTGTTATAATATCTGATTCAGATGACTCTTTTGTATTAGTTGTGTTACTTGACATTCGAAGTTTTGCGGTTTGATTGTATTTTAATTGAACAGGTCATTCCGGAAAGGATGCCCGATTGCTCCTACTTTTTGCAAGGTGCTGCACTTTGCTTCTGTTCTGCTTTGCATACTATCGTTGATGAGAAAGAATGCCATAGTTCTAAACCAATTAGTTTGGCAGGTCTTTGCACAAACAAAAGTTGCCCATATAGGCATGTGAATGTCAACCGAAGTGCCTCTACGTGCGAGGGATTTCTTAAAGGATATTGTGCTGACGGAAATGAGGTAACTATTCTGTACCGTAACTTCACTGACAAATGTTGATTGCTTCCTCATAATGTAATCGTGTGGGGTATTTTAAACCCCATGAAATATATCTGGTACACTGATAATAGTTGGTGAACTTGTGGACTGTGGTGCAATGTCTTCAATGAAGATAACAAAATTTCCTGCCTGTCGTGCTATGCTATGGTTTTGACTTTTGCCTTCCATATTGACACGGAACAAGAGGCGGCAAATTAGTGAGGTTGGTGGATTATGTTTAAATGGGTTGCAGGAATTCCTTGGAAACTTGATGTGGTTTGGAGGATTGTTGCCAAGTTTAAGGCATGTCGGTTTAAGTTTTATGGGTTAAAATGTAAATGATAGGAGGATTAGTTTGTAAATTGTTAGAGAAGGCTACCTCAGTGTTCTGTGAAGAAAGAAAAGTTAGATTTAAATGCTGGACCAGTCGGCAAAATTCTGAAAGTTAGGTACTATGATATATGCATGAATCTTTAGGTACTTAATGGTTTAGCGTAGCCCTGAATTCCTCTGCTTTAGAAGCTGAAAGAAAGTTGTTGTTACAGTGAGCTTCCCAGTTCTGCAAAAACACATCAACCATACTCATTTACCTACCAACCAATTGGATTTCGATAAAATGTGCTGGGGTTAGATGGCTTTTAAGTGCGTGGGTTAGCTTGATATTTGCCATCTCCATGAAGCAGGGTTCATATGTTTAACTCATCAATTGCTTGTATCTTTTCTCTTTTGCTTGTGGATTTCTGCAACATGAAATGTCGTACACAGTGTCGGAAGAAGCATAGCTACGTCTGCCCAAGCTACGAAGCTAAAGGAACTTGTCCCCAGGGATCCAAGTGTAAGCTTCACCACCCAAAGAACCGTGTCAAAGGAAAGAAACCCAAAAGGCGATCACGGGAGAAGAACCAATTTGGACATGGGCGATACTTTGGTTCGACGACACGTGTCAGCGCTGCTTTGGGGTCTGGAATTTCTGTTGTCCGGAGGCACTTGAGAGAAATCAGAGATGCAGGTCCCGACTTTATTAGCCTTGGTTTCAGTGATGATGAGGAAGCAGCTGGAGAAGAATACAGCAAATACCGAAGAGATGATGATGATGATAAGAAACTGAACTGGAGTGATGATGGGGAGGACCTGGAGGACTTGGACGCAAGTAATCTGGATGAGCTAATTAAGCCAGCCCGAATATTGAACATCGGATGACTACTACCATTATGAGGAAAGTGATGCCTCGGGAATGAATCAGGTAGTGCAGATTCCTCTTCCGTTGTCTTCGTTCTTGGTAGTAGTCATCAAGGCACCACTTCCCTCATAATGGTAGTAGTCACTTTTCCTCAGTTTTGTTTTTGTTGTCACTTTTCCTCGGTTTTGATTAGGGTAGGGTCCTTAGCTAGATCAACTGATCCCTAATTTCATATGGGGATCTTTCGTTGTTTTGGTTTTTGGAGTTCTGTTTTAGGTAAGGATGTTAGGGTCAAAGGTATAGAGGATGTTAGAATTACTATAGGTTGTTGCCCAATTGTAAAATTAACTGTGTATGTTAGAATGTAATGAACTGATAGAGCTATATCTAACTAGTTACCTAACGTATACTTTGCCTTTCCTAGAAGTAGAGGTGTATGTGGGTTGTTGGGTTGGTTTTGCCCGTTTGGCCGTTTTTAACCACCCAACCAATGAATCTCGGGTTAATTGATGGTAAACGCAAATCTATCCATTGATTTTAAGACCCTACTGGTTTCTTGAGCCATGATTTGGGTAGATTTGGATAAAAATCAAATCCATTATACGAAAATAAAATTTGTACTTTTAATTAAGGGTAAAGAAGTCGCTAGGCGTAAGATGGCCGTTGAGATTTGCCTAGCTCGTCTACGCGTAGACTAAGCGTGCTTAGGCGTTGGATGATAAATATCTATTCGCATTCTATGATGAATGAAATATAATCTACAGTACTTCCTCACTTAAGCTAAAATGATTAATAACTTACTCAACACTTGATGACAAGATCATAGCTCACCAATTCAGAGAATCATAACTCAATAGCTCACAAAGTTCATGAGCTATTGAAATTATTGATATAGAAAATTAATTTCGTAGTTGACGTTAGTTTCCTCCTTTAATATTGGCTTCCTAGCTCCATGTAGTTATGTTTACGAGAGACTTAGATGTCTCCCTACTCCATTGATGTGTCACAGTATCTAACTAGCCGCAAAACCCCTAGACGAGGCATTTTGCCATTGCTTTGCGCATAGGCGTGCTTAATTGTAAGGTTAAGCTTTTGAACCATGCTTTTAATAATATGGTGAACAACACATATTCATAATATGAAACTACAAAACTAGTAAAATTCTATAGTTACGTGTAGCATTCCCTAAAATGAATCCATCTCAAACTACTCTCGATTTGCCTATCAGTCCTTCCCTCGATTTTGGAATCGCAAATCATGATTCTCAGTTAGAAACTTCTTCTCTTTATCGCTCTTTTCCTTCAACCGACCATCTGTAATGCGGCTTTTCGTCGTCGACGACTGTCAGCGATTAGCATCCATAAACCCATAACTTCTTCGTCGCTCAATCCCTTCGACCTGCTCTTTATCTTACCGCTCTTCATCGTTGTTGACTACGAGTACCAAGCAGCCACAAGCTTCTCCTTGTCACCCATTCTCTTTTGATTCGACCCTATACCAGGAGCACCCCCTAGCTGGTCTGGGTAGAACGGAGTCCCCCTTCCTCGCCCAAAGCTGCCTGCGGAACCTCGCCCCATCGGACCCGCCCAATTCCCTGCACCATTCGACCCTCGCCACATATTCGGGTCCATGCTGCCCGATCTAACCAGTCCCGGTTCGACCCGGTTCGGCCCACTTCCAGTTCGACCCGGTTCGGGTTCGCCCCGACCCGACCCGCCTCGGCCCGGACCGGCCAGCCCCCGGTCGGTCCACCCGGCCGAGCCGCCTCCTCGACCCAGCCCAGATCCACCCTGCCCAACCCGGCCCTCCTGGCCCGGCCCAAACCGGCCCTCCTGGCCTGGCCCAACTCGCCCGGCTTGGGCCCCTGCCACGTCCGGGCCCAAGTAGTCTTCGCCACTCGCCAGGTCGGCCCATGGCGCGTTCTGGCCCACCAGACTGAGCTCCTCCTCGATCCGCTCGTGATCCATGGTCAGCCACCCCAGTCCTCTGGGCTCGTGATACGGGCCCACGGTGTCACTCCGGCCCATTGGCCTAGGCGGGCCCTGCCCAGTCGGCGGGGGCCCGCTGTCGTACCCTGGCATCTTGGCCTTGCCCTTGCGGGCCGCCAATTCCTGGGCCGTTGGTGTCGGTAGAAGCCCAGGCCCACCGATGCGCCCTGGCTGACCCTGGCCCACCCGCTCGCCGGGCACCACCTCCGCCGCCTCGACGACCTCGACAGCCGCCTCTGGGGGCGGCGCCTCCGCCACCACCATCGCTCCATCAAGCGCGCCACCCGCCGCTGCCGCTGCACTCCTCTCCGCGCCCCCATCGCCGCCGCCGCTGCTAGTCCCCGGCCCGGTGGCGCGCGCGGCGACCAGTGCCTCCACGACCCGCTGCACCTCATCAAACCGCTTCCAAACTCGCCGGGACTCCTCCTCCTGTCCCCGCCGCTGTTCGCCTTGTTCTTGCCGGAGAGCCCGCCATTCCTTGCGCTCCTTCTCGAACTCGGCTACCAGGCGATCCAAGGTGGTCTGGATCCGCTCCAACTTTTCAGTCTCGTCCACCAGCTCGCCGTCCCGGGGATCGGAGGCCCCCTAGTTGCCGCCGCCAGCCCCCGGCAGCCCGGTCGAGTCCGTGATCGACTGATCGAGGCCTGCTCCTGCGCTGCCTTGGCAGCCTTCTCTGCCGCTGTCATCAACTTTGTCGACACCATTGCACCCTTCGTTCTTTGTTTGTGATCGAACCCAAGAACCGGGCTCTGATACCAAATGATAGAGCTCCGGTTTGAGCTCTACCGAACAATTGGGGATCGGGGATCAACTAGGGATTGACCCAGGGTTTAGGGAGATTGAGAGAGAGATTTGGGAGACTTGGGGATGAGAAGAAGAGAGGAAAGGCTGCTGCCGAGCGGCAGCTTGAGAGGGAAAAAGGGGCTTCGGCGGTCAGAGGGAAAGAGAGGAGAGAGAGAGGTAGTTTTAGGTTTAATTCTTGCTTACCATTCTCTACGTAGACAATAGTCTAAATACCCAAAAACACAATTACCTACTAACTGCCCCAAATTATTAATCCCCCACAATATCCCCAATAGCCAAAATAATCCTGAACTAAATAATTCAAACCGACATAAACCCCAAATAATTAAAATGTCTATCAATCTGTCTTTACCATCGAACAAGTTTCTGACAATTCTGTGTTGAAACCAGGGAGCACCGTTGACAGAATACACACTTCGATTAATCGGTTCAGACATTGAGCACTACATAAGGAAGCTGCTGTACGATGGAGAGATCAAATACAACATAGAGAGCAAAGACGCTCAACTTCAGCATGGGGAAACCCAGGATCGTATTCAACGACGCTGACAAGGGGAGTAGTCCAGATGTACAGTGATGGCAACGAACTATGGAGTTAGACCAGGCAATATATTATACAATACATATGTTACAAAGTTTGTTTGCCGCCAACATGAGTCTTTTAAATAGTTAGTTAGTCATCTAACCCAAAAGCTGACCTGTCTCGTTTCCCCCTTTGCAAGGAAATGTCTGAACACTCTAATCACAGGGAACTCGCTTGCAACTTGGCAGCACTTTCAAACATGCCTCGTCCAGCCATGGCTTGAAAGATCCATGAAGGGGTAAATTCTGCAGACAAAAAAGAAAGAAGAAATATATATAGCCCTGTTACAAGTAAAAAAACAGACAAGTAAAATTATAACAGGAAAGAAGCAAAACACCAAAAATCATAGTCAAGTAAGCAAGCAAGTTCCACAAACTCTAGATTTAAGAGGTTTATTAGAGAGATTGTCAACTAGGGCAACAAAGAATACTAGTGAGAGCGTGTAGTGATGATATGATGTAGTCCCACAACTATGTCGACTCTCTTGGAATAGTATTAGATACAGTTATTACAACCACTATATGAGTAAGCTTAAGACCAATTATATGTTCAAGAAGAAAAGAAGCACCAACCTCCAACCAATAGACAAACCCACGTAGCAAGTTCAACATTACGGGGTGATTGCACTCCGAATCAGGCTTTATCTCCTGAAGCTTTCTTGCAAAATCTACAATACCACCATATTAACAAGTTATCACCCTGGAAGGACTCCATAACTAATGACAGAATCACGGATTACTGAAGAAAAAAAAATGGGGGGGGGGGGGGGGGGGGGGGGGTATAAATTGCTGCAACAAAATGTCAAGCTTCAAATTTGTAGCACAGCAGAGGGGCATACCTGTATATTTATCAAGGTAAGATTGCCCAACAGCTTTCAGTTTTATCTTCACTGTTCGTCCATGCCGGAGTTCTCTATCTTTCACCAATTGCTTCCTGCAAGACACTTCTTTCAACAACTCATTGTACTCTCTCTGGTCGTAAGGCTTTCTTAAATTCTCAAGAAGCTTCACTCTGAACACAGAGTTGTAGTGATTCCCACCATGGCCTTCTTCAGGCTCCAAATCAAGATCCTTCATTTGAAAACACAGCCAACAAATAAAGAAGCAATCTTTAAAAAAAAAAACACCAGTAGAATAATAATAAAAAAGCACACAACAATAATGAGGGTGGGGAGAGGAATCAATTACAATGACTTCATGGTTCTTTGCTGGCACGAACGGAGTGTTGACATCATTAGCAAAGGTGGCAGCATCAATCTCCAATATATCTGAATCAGATGGGCTAGTGGGACAGCTGAGGGGATAGTCGTGATATAGCACTTTTTCGCCAACTGAAGGGACAAATTCAACATTCGTTGGCTTCTTCTTCAGAGAACGGAGAAATATCTCATAGCATTTGTCAATTTGATCCCCATCTAGTTCAGGTCTGCACTTTTGGTTTTTGTTTGAAGGCATTTTAGTTGTTGCAGGTTCTTCACGGGAAACAGGATTCAAGGACTCTTTTCTCTGTGTTTCTTCAGAAATCAAACGTCTTCTTTTCCTATCCTTCATGTCATCCCGCTCTACTTTAGGTCTGCACTGTTGATTTTTGTTTGAAGGCTTTTTAGTTGCTGAAGGTTCTTCACAGGGAACAGGATTCATGGACTCTTTTCTCTGTGTTTCTTCAGAAATGAAATGTCTTCTTTTCCTATCCTGCATGTCATCCAACTCTACTTTAGGTCTGCACTGTAGATTTTTGTTTGAAGGCGTTTTAGTTTTTGCAGGTTCTTCACAGAGAACAGGATTCAAGGACTCTTTTCTCTGTGTTTCTTCAGAAATCAAACGTCTCCTTTTCCTATTCTGCATGTCGCTCACATCCTTCTGAGATTTCATTTTCAGTTCACTTCGGCAAGGTATAGTTTTAGTTGCTCTATCTCTCACCAAACTGGGTGCCATAACTTTTCCCGTTCTAGTGTCTCCTGTCTTGGCTGGCATTGGAGCTTCTACCTTACATGCACTTTCTGGTGCATCTCCTGTCTCATCTTCGATCCTTGGTTTCATGGGTGAACAGCTCCTCCTATCTCTGCCAGAAGCAACAGTTGGATCACATCGTTCGTCCACTTTCTTTTTGCTCTCTCTCTTCAAAAGCTCTTCCATTTGGGACTTCCCTTCTCTTCTAAATCCACTGCGTAACCCATTTTTAGTTTTATAAGAGAACTTCCTCCCCGTCAATGAACTCTTGTTGCTCCCACTAGGAACTCTCAGATCACATTCAGTACCTGCTTCATCTCTTATCTGGCAATGACCTTGAGTTTCATTGCAATCTTTCCCTAGACAAATCTCAGATTCCCCATTCTTACTCTGTGAAGACGTCTGTCTTGCCTTGCCAGCATCACATTGATCGCGAGTTTCATTGCACCCTTTCCCTAAACAAATTTCAGGTTCTCCATTCTTCCTCTGTACAGAATTCTTTCTTGTCTCAGTGGCGTCACATTGACCATGAGAATCATCTTGCTTTTCATAAACAAAAGATAGTGACTCTCCACTGCTCACAGGGAGCTCAATATTGTATGAATTCCCATCTTCTCTCAGGTTCTCTAAGAACCTAAGATATGCAGGATCAGAAGCTCCAATGATATCATCAGCAGCAGTTTGATCTCGATCTGGCAGATCGAAATGCACATTGTTCCAATGGTCTGCGACTTCTTCGGCAGCAGGTGCATTGTCAAAAGACCTATCAACAACATTATCATCATTCGCAGAGCCTCCAATGTCATCGGGTTCTTCAACAAACTCAGAATCAACATGAAAGCTATCTACTGACTTGTCATCGAAACCAGTATCAGTAGTCTCAGCACCAGTATCATCCTTCCGACTCAACCCATTTTTATCATTGGAGCAGCATGCCCCGAGAAAAGAGTCGTCTGCATACCCAGCAGCATCATTGCGACGATCCATAGACATGTCACATCCACTGTTAGCGCCTGGATCCTCATTGTTGCCCACACCATTGTCCTCTGTTCTAATGCTGCTGCCACCACCAATCTCAGCCAATAATCTGAAAAGGTCAATGTCAATGTCCTCCTTTAGACCAGAATCCACACAGCCTATGGCGGCTTCACTATCAGGGGCACGATTAGCACTCACTCCGTCGGCAGAATTAGCTGCTGTTGGAAGGCGTAGACCCAAGGCATCCAAAAAGGTGGCATAATCATGATCTGGAGGATAATGATGGTCATTAGTAGTACTCTTGGTAGGCAAATTTCCCCTACTTCTTGTTCGAGTTTTGGCAGAGGAGCTGCCTCCGTTATTGCCATTCTTGGATGGATAAATCTTACGTCTTGAATTAGCCTGGAGCCTTCTCAGCACTCGCCTCTTCGACCTCGCATCTGCCACAGAATTCCTTTCCAGAGATTCCATTCTGTTCCCTCCCACAAAACCCTTTGTTTCATCAACCTATCCTCACAGTTTTTGACGGGGGAAAGATGAAAGGATACCGAAGACACCCTAAAAACTGTTTATTCCATAGGGGAGGAACGAAGTGAAAAAAAAAAACCCCCAAACCCATAAAGGAGAAGTTGCAGTGTTTGGTAGCAGCCATTCACAATGTGAAATCCGCACATGCAGAGGTAACACGAATGAAGGTGGGAGGCGACATTATCAAGAAGAAGAATAGAGAAGGGAGAAAGGTGAAAGGTCAAAGTTACGTACTTTTTCTTGTGCTACTGTAGGCGGAATGAGTTGAACGAAGAAGCCATGATCACCCTCCGAAAGAGAGAACAGACGAAAAGCTAGGGGGTAGGGAAAAGAAGAAGGAGAGGGCTTTTCTCTTTCTTCGTTTCCCTTGCTCAATTTTCGACTTTTACCAGAGCTCTGTTTCTCCTCCTCCGGGCTCCGGAGCACTGCGAGAAAGAAACAGAAGACGGAGGATGGAGGGAATGCAAAGCGGGTCGGCGTTTTTTTTTTTTTTTGTGGGCTCAGCTGAGCTGATTGGCCTGGGAATCTGAAATGTCGGACGAACTTTATTTTCTTTAATTACTGAGGAGGAAGTGAAAGTGAAGACTTTGCCGGCAATGAAACCCGGTGGCTGGTTGAGTGGGTTGGAGCGGGTTCGGATTTGGGGTACCCGCCTCGTTGATAGACCATTGATTGAACATGTTCTTACCCCTATTTTTAAGCCGTTTAAGATGTCGATTCTCGTGTTTTAAACCGATTTCACGCGAGATTGTGCGTTTATGTCATATTTCAGGGCTTGACGTTGGAATCGTTGGAATCCCGGCCATGGGCAGAAATACCCGGGCGGGTATTATTTGGAGGAGACCGGGGAATTCACGTTTTGGACGTTGAGAAGCATAATGGGGTCCGGTCGTGAGGCTTAAATCCCCGGTCAGGGATTCTTGGCCTTGACTGGGGATTTTCCCCTGTTCCCCGACGGTGCGTTTTGAATATACCCGGTCGCCACCCGAAATACCCGACCGGGTATTCAGACCGGGGATCGCGACAAACAGCTTCTTAAGGGAAAAGAAGGGAAAAAGTGAAGGGTTCCGAGTTTTAGAGAGAAAAAGCGCTACCTAGAGAGAGAAAGTGACGAACCTGATTCTGCAAGTGTCCTTGATCGATCTCCACCACCATTGGAGCCCGACTTGAGTTTGGAGAAGAGTTGATTGAGTGCCAGAAGCAGATTATCATCCTTCACAGTATGGTTTCGGCATCTGAGCTAGAATTCTCATCTCTCTCTATGGAGTAACTTTCTTATTCACCTGGGTATGAAGAACTCTAGATTTGTATGTTAGGTCTGATTGTATGAACCCAAGTACAGATTTTATGAGTTGATTATATTCAATTGAGGTTTGAATTGTTGAATGACATGAATCCTGATCAAATTCCTGTTATTTCTGCTTTGACCTAGAATGAGAACATCTGCCTAGGTTGATAGAGCATCCTTGATTGAAGGTAGTGAATTGACGACTTTAGTCGAGGAGTCAATTCACTATTATGTACCGAATTTACTTCGGTAGTGGAGGTTTGGTTCGTTAAGGCCTCAATCGTTTTACTCCGGTGGAGGTTAGTCGCCCGCTGGGGACTCAGATTGAGAGGGTCTGGAGACCTTTAGTCGAGACTTCAGACTGTTTAAGAACCTCCCGCAGTATAACTATCATTGGAATTGAACTTGGTAAATTCCAATCCGGCTTAACTGCAGTCTAGGGGGAACCATATCCGGGTGACCTCTCTCGACTTGAAAACAACCTTTTTACCTACTTTGCTTGTTTGGACCTTCACTACACTTTCACTGCTAAATAATAAGAACTCATGGAGTAGTCATCACACTTAGGACCCGGATTGACATTAAAACCCAAACCCGCTATACTACGCTTTAGGAGGTGGTTACACTTGGCCATTTTCTAGAGTGACGGTAGGAGCGAGTCAAGTTTTGGCGCCGTTGCCGGGGACGGCTAGGTTGTTGAAGAAACATGATTTCTGTTAATTTAGCTTTTCTTTTTAGCATTGTTTTCTTTGTCACACTTGTGCCTTCACGGGTTTGCTGCTTGACTGTGTGCAGGTAGTGCATGACCCGTAGCCAGTCAGGAGGTTTACTGTCGTTGGATCCGGAGCTTGAACGCACCTGTCGCCAACTTAGGAGACAACAGCGAGCTAGACTGGCTACGGCGGAGCGCATAGACGGCCACTTGAGCAGCGATTCCGAGGAAGAGTACGATATGCAAGGTGAACACAACCCGCCCCAGGGGATACCTCTCCAGGTTCCCCCGGTGAATCAGATCTTGGGGAACAACCCCATACCCCAGGCAGATGGGGTTCATCATCACCCACCGCCGTCGGGTCCCACCTTGGAGTACTACTATACTCCACGGGTCGCTGATATCCGCCCGGTTATCCTCTATCCACCTATTCCAGCGAACAACTTCGAGATCAAGCCATGTTGGATTCAGCTCATTACATCCTCTATCCAGTTTCATGGCTTGAAGGATGAGGAGGCAATGGTGCATCTTTCCCGTTTCCTACAGCTGACGAACGGGTTCAAGATGAACGGGTTCAAGATGCGATCCGCCTTCACCTCTTCCCCCATTCTCTAACGGGGCATGCTAAGAGGTGGTTGGAGACCCAGCCCCCATTGTCCATCACTTCTTGGGACGATCTGGCTGACAAGTTCGTCACAGGTACTATCCGTCATCGAAGACCACAGAGATCCAGCGAGAGATCACTCACTTCCGCCAAGAGCCAGATGAGTCACTTCATGATGCATGTGAGCGGTACTCGGGATTTTTCTGGCAGTGTCCCCATCATGGCTTCAGTGATGCATTCACCGTGGGGAACTTCTACAGTGCTCTCTCTCTCCGGAAAGCTAGAGGGTGATTGAGTCTCTATGCCCAGGAGGGGATATTCTTACTAAGAGTCCACCCGAATTGAACCAGATGATCAGTACCTTGGCTGCCAGAGATCATTCCTCGGGACAGAGCACCAGAGGCAGGAATTCCCGAGATCGAGGTGTGCACGCCATGGAGGTCAGGTCTGGGCTAGAGCGGGAGGTGGCTGAGTTAGTGCAGACATTGAAGCAGCCCAACAGTCTTATTCCGGGCAGAGGTTTGGTTGTACCTCCAGTAGCTCAATGTCAGTGGTGTGAGAGCTCGAACCATCTGGTGGAAGACTGCCAGGCTATGCGGGAGTCTTCTACTCCCCAAGAGCAGTTGGACTTCATCGCCAATGCTCGGCGCCTTGACCCATACAACAATACATACAATGAGGGGTGGCGCCAGCATCCCAACTTTGCTTGGAATAGCAACACCAATAAACCCCCTGGTTTCCCAGCACCAGCGGTGGTTTTCAACAGAGGTAGCCTTTCCAGGCTAGACAGGGGCCAGTTCCATAGCAGCAGCCTTACCAGCCTAGGCAGGGGCAGCCATTCCAGCAGCCCCAGCGTCAGTATGTCTAGCCTCCAGCAATAGCAGCTCCAGATAATCAGATGACGGAGTTGAAAAATATTTTGCAGGCATTCATGACCACCAGCCAGGCAAATTTCACGAGGATGGACCAGAACATAGCCTCACTGGAGGCAGGCCAGAGGAACCAATGTGCCATTTTGCAAGATCTACAGAATCAGATTGGTGGCATAGCTCGCCAAAATACTACCTGGGCACTGGGGACTCTACCTGCCACCACCATTCCGAACCCTCGTGAGCCTCACCAGCACCAACAGCTGGATGCCATCACTACCAGGAGTGGCAAGACCACATCTGCTGCTCCTGCCCAGCCCAGGCCAGACGAGCCACTACCTGCTTCAACACTTCTAGCTGACAATGCAGAAATGGGGATGGATAAAGAAGCACATGCTCCCAAGCCACAGTCAGTGGTTAAGGAGCATGTACCCCAGCTTTCTTTCCCCACCCGCCTACATAAAGACAAGTTGGAGACTGAGTTTGCCAAGTTCATGGCAATGTTGAAGCAGGTCAACATTAGCATGCCGTTCGTGGAGGCACTGTCGAAGATGCCCAAGTACGCCAAGTTCATGAAAGACCTCCTCACCAACAAGAAGAAACTTGGGGATCTTTCGACAGTGATGCTGAGCGAGGAGTGTTCTGCTATCCTGCAGAACAAGCTGCCTGAGAAGCGTAAAGACCCAGGGAGTTTCACTATCCCTCTTGTTATTGGCAGCATGCATGTAGGAAAGTCCTTGGCGGACCTAGGCGCTAGCATAAATGTTATGCCCTACAAATTGTTTAAAAATCTAGACCTAGGTGAACCTAGAGCTACTAGGATGAGCATTCAGTTAGCTGACCGTTCCATTGTCCATCCTAGTGGTATCATTGAGGATCTGCTTGTTAATGTAGGTGCATTCGCATATCCTGTTGACTGTTATTCTGGATATAAATGAGGATGTGGATGTACGTTTGATTTTGGGTAGACCGTTTCTCGCTACCGCCAAGGCGCTTATTGATGTGCATAGTGGTAAATTAATCCTGCGTGCTGGTGATGAACAAGCTACTTTTTTTGTGTCTGAGAATGGAAAACACTCTCATTTGCATGATGATGTAGATTACTGTGATGTGCTTGCTGATTTTGAGACCGCACTTGCTATAACGAGTGCGGGTACTGACCATGCTCTTGAGCGTTGTATTTTGCTAGGTGAGCAGGCATCGCAGAAGCCGCAGCTGGTGGAGCAGTTGGCCGCGCTGGAGAGTGGCCCGTTCCTGGAGGGTGACAGGCTGTTCAAACCGATCTCATCCTCACCCCGCATCACTACCTCCTTGGAGGAACCACCAGAGCTGGAGCTAAAGCCCCTCCCTCCTCATTTGGAGTATGCATTTCTCCGGGAGGGGAATAAGCTGCCAATCATCATCAACTCGACCCTCACAACCGAGAAGAAGGACAGACTGGTGGCCTTGTTGAAGCTGCACGAGCGAGCCCTAGCATGTAAGATCACAGATATCCGGGGGATCACCCCCTCCTTCTGATCCCACCGGATACTGCTGGAGGATGAGATGCGGCCAGTGAGACAGCCGCAGAGAAGACTGACACCGAACCTGGAGGATGTGGTTCGGGCGGAGATCGTGAAGCTGATGGACGCGGGGATCATCTTCAGTATTTCCGACAGTAAGTGGGTCAGTCCCACCCAGGTGGTACCCAAAAAGGGTGAGATGACCGTGGTGCCTAACGAGAAGAATGAGCTCATCCCGATGAGCATGGTGACTGGGTACCGTGTTTGCATTGATTATCGGCGTCTCAACGACGTCACTCGGAAGGACCACTTCCCGCTGTCGTTCATTGATCAGATGCTGGAGAGACTGGCGGGGCACGAGTTCTACTATTTCCTGGATGGGATGTCAAGGTATTTCCAGATCCCCATTGCACCGGAGGACCAGGCTAAGACCACCTTCACCTGCCCCTTCAGCACATTTGCCTACCGGAGGATCCCATTTGGGCTAGGCAATGCCCCGACCACTTTTCAGCGATGCATGCTCGCCATCTTTGACTG